TCATTGTGGCTACTAGGGGTTAGAGCTTGTGGGTTTACTCATTGTGGCTACTAGGGGTTAGAGCTTGTGGGCTTACTGTGGCTACTAGGGGTTAGCTTGTGGGCTTACTCATTGTGGCTACTAGGGGTTAGAGCTTGTGGGCTTACTCATTGTGGCTACTAGGGGTTAGCTTGTGGGCTTACTCATTGTGGCTACTAGGGGTTAGCTTGTGGGCTTACTCATTGTGGCTACTAGGGGTTAGCTTGTGGGCTTACTCATTGTGGCTACTAGGGGTTAGAGCTTGTGGGCTTACTCATTGTGGTTTTCTAGGGTTAGAGCTTGTGGGCTTACTCATTGTGGCTACTAGGGGTTAGAGCTTGTGGGCTTACTGTGGCTACTAGGGGTTAGCTTGTGGGCTTACTCATTGTGGCTACTAGGGGTTAGAGCTTGTGGGCTTACTCATTGTGGCTACTAGGGGTTAGAGCTTGTGGGTTTACTCATTGTGGCTACTAGGGGTTAGAGCTTGTGGGCTTACTGTGGCTACTAGGGGTTAGCTTGTGGGCTTACTCATTGTGGCTACTAGGGGTTAGAGCTTGTGGGCTTACTCATTGTGGCTACTAGGGGTTAGCTTGTGGGCTTACTCATTGTGGCTACTAGGGGTTAGATCTTGTGGGCTTACTCATTGTGGCTACTAGGGGTTAGAGCTTGTGGGCTTACTCATTGTGGCTACTAGGGGTTAGAGCTTGTGGGCTTACCAACACTGTGACTGAGACGAGTGCGCAGTGTGGGAAAGAGGCGCGGACGGAAGTGGTGAATAATAAAATAATGGAGGCGGGTCACGTGCGGACTCACCGCTCTCACCTCCTGCTGCTGTGCGGCCCGGTTCCTAACAGGCCACGGACCGGTACCGGTCCGCGGTCCGGGGGTTGGGGACCCCTGGGCTAGTGTACACGGGCTAGGGTACACGGGCTCGGACACACGTTACGTGGCAGAGTAAGTTGCAGGGAGATGCGAGCCGGAGTGAGAGTTTTATTCCCGCAGTGCGGTTTCCAGCATCTGTTGGGAACAATACAATCTTCCAAACAAGACGGTCAACACTGTTTCCGAACAAACACTCTTGTAAATAACATGACGATGATAATGACTAATTTTTTTCCGAACAGATATAGGTTTTTGTTGGGTTAGATCGCGTAAATGTGGGTGTCGTTAAACCCGTGACTCTCCGACACAGCCAATCAGTAACAAGGTTTGTCACGTAAACAGAACGTGCCAATTCGTTACTTGTACAGCACACCGGTGTGTTGGAGAGTAACCCCACAACACTTACAATTCGAGTACGACGCTTCGCCAGTAATTACAGCCAGCATTGTCAGGCGACAACACTTCCCATCAACTCTCTTCCAAACACTACGAGTGATCATTACCCCTCTGAACCAGAGCATTGACATTGTTCCAAACTAGGTGATCAATACTGTTCTGAACTCGGCGATTGATCCTGTTCCAAACAGCACAATTCATTCTTGCCCACAACACGATGATCCCCACACTGTTGTTATCAACACTTCTTTTTTTCACAAGGCAACGTTCGAGAACAAGACAACGTTCGAGAACAAGGTAGCGTTGTTCGAGAACAAGGTAACGTTCAGGAACAAGGCAACGTTGTTCAAGAACAAGGCAACGTTGTTCAAGAACAAGACAACGATCGACACTGTGCCAAGCAACTCTGTTCCCAACGAGAAGACTGACGATTGTCCTAATCGAGAAGATCAATACTGTGTTCCGAACGTGTTGACCAACATCATCGCTCGCCGACAGCGGAGAGGTTCATCACTTGACCGCGATGATCGTGTTCACGAACACCTGAGTCCTAGACTATCACCTGCCCGAGGGCTGCTCTCACCTGTGCGAGGGTGACTCACCTTGGCAATCACCCATCTCACCTGCGACCAAGGCTCCCGCTGCAGCGGAGCTGAGACCCGGCCCAGGTGAGACGGGAAGAGAATTTGACCAGGAGCAGATCTCGACCCCCCATTTCCCACTGGCACATCCGAGCCGAGCCACCTCAGGGCCCTCAAGGCACGGGTTTTTTTTCCCACTGGCTTATTTACCGTGCCGATCCAGAACCAAACCAAGCTATGCCACCCTCATGGCAGACATCTGAATCTGGCTCAGGGGTTCAATTAGGATCAGGAGCAGTTGCTGCTGACGTCAGTAAGTTCAGTTGTGAGGACACGGCGTCACCGCGTCTTCTTCACATTAATTTCGAGTGGTTCAATCGCGTGTGAGGTCAGTGGCACGGGCTCGGCTCGGCTCCGCTTCTGCAGTGGGAAGGGAAAACAAAAAACTCAACCTGGGCGCCTCGTGAGCTGTGGCTGGCTGGATGGAAACGGCCCTGGGATAGCTCCAGCACGGCTCGGTTGTACCAGTGGAAAAAAAAGAGGTATTCGAAACTAAAACACCACCTGTGTAATTCGAGCGTGACCTATACGGACTTTATCATAGACCGCGTGTCCACGTGCGCTCTGCAATGACATATATGTGCAGACGGTGAGTGTGTTCACGTGTGTGCTGTGTACGGTGAATGTAGAGTTCATTATACATTATCACTGGACTCTGTACGTGTTTTTTTTGTTATATTAAAACTATTTTTTTTATTTTTGCCAGGTAACGGGCCGTCCATAAATTACGTCACGCAATTTTGGACGATTTTTGACCCCCCCCCCCCTCCCCCTAGTCATACAGCGTCACAAAAAGTCAGACCCCCCTAAAATATGACGTCACAAAGCTCTGCCCCCCCCCCTCCCAAATAAATAAAACATGCTTCAAATCGCTTTAAACTATTGTCATTGTAGTGCGTATGTAATGTGGCGCTGCACTCTGATGTTGTAGGAGACGACGTTTATTAAAAAGTCTATTTAATTAAGTAGAACGTGTTGTCTATATTTATTTAAAGTTGTGCATTTTTATGTGACGTCACATTTCTCACCCCCCTCTCGTCACACATCGTCACAAATGTCTGACCCCCCCCCCCCCGAGGTGCGTGACGTCATTTATGGACGGCCCCTAAGGCGCACTGAGCTATACAGCTCTGTTTCAGAAGCGACCTGACCACAATGACAGCTCAACCAGTTGGCGGCTTATCGCGTGGAATTTCACTTCAACCGCGATGTTGATTCTAAATGTGGAGGGCAAAAAAAAAAACGAAGGACCCGGAGACAAATCCACGCGACCACGGGGCGAGAGGACACCACTGTGGCAGTCGGAGCGATAGTTTTGGGGGCAGGGTGTCTCTTGATTGACGATGAGCGAGGGACGCGTGCTTGGCTTTGTGCCAAAGTGGTTGCAGGCGTGTGTGGGATTAGATCAGCTCATGAGCACGAGGGATTGGACTCGTCATGAGCACGTCGTGCTATAATTAATTTGGAGAAAAAAAACCACCAAGGGTGTGACTAAAAAAAAGGGCCCCGCTTGCGGGGAACCACGATAAAAAGTGCGGGGATTCTATTCCGCTCCTCATCATGCTCGATGCGGCTGTCGTGCTGGAGACGTGAGACTGCCGACCACGGGGAAGCTCCTCCTCGTCCACGGCCACGGAGCCAGCCGTGTTGGTGGGTCAGCATCACAACCATCGCCTTGGTGGAGTCCGGCCTGGGGCTGATAACCACTTGCTGCTGGCCTTTGGGCACGATCGACTGGGGTTCTGCAGTGGACGGCTGGTCCATTCACCCGTTGGTGGGCCTCCTGAACCATCGCCTTTGGAGCCAGGGGTGGGGCATCACGGGGAACCACACCCGCTGCTGGCGTGAAGGCAACGCTTCGTGAGGACTGCGGGGGGGGGGGGGGGGGGGGGGGGGGGCGTTGGTTGACAGCTGGGGACATGTGCGGGGAGAAAGGGCGGGGATCCTCCTGAGGTGGTGCTTGGAACGTTTTGTTTGGTCCGTTCCAGAGCCGGGTAATACTTTCACGCGTGCCTCCGGGGGTTGCTCGGCAGCTTTCTCCCACCAGCGTTCGTGGTGGAGGAGATCTGTGAAGCCGTGGGTCGTCGGGTTGTTGTGTAACTGTTGTTTGTTGTGCGGTTGCGAGGGCCATTTTGGGTTGGTATAATTGCTCGTGATGTGTGCACTCCTCCGGAGAATTAGCAGGCCTGTTACCATTTGACAATTTAAAACTTGTATAGAATTTTACATTCTAAGCAAACACGATAAATCTGGAGTATACCGGCAGTGGTCTTTGTTATATTCCGCACACCGTCATTTGGGGCGTCGCTTGAAACGGGCCCCCACCATAACCTAAACCACAGCGATGCTAGAGAGGGTTTCGGGTACAGACGGAAACCCCCATCAAGCATGTCCCAAAAGGATGCACCGTTGCAACCGCAAACTCCAAATATACAGCAGCAGCAGGCGTCAGGGTCGGGATCGGACCCACGACCTCCTCCGTACCAGGCGAGGTAGTTAACATCTCATAGCCACGGAGTTGAAAACTGAGAAACAGCTGCTGTCATGTTCACGCCGTTTTCACAATCCTCCTGGACTCGGAGCACTAAAAGTAAATCTGGTATTTTATGTAATAATAATGCGATGCCAAGATAACACTGAAGTTCTTGTTTTTATATTATCTTGGATTTAAAGAATATTCTGGCGAAAGAAGGGCATGAATAATCGGAGCACAAATTTAACCTTTGGAGTAATTTCAAATGAACCGTGTTCAGTCTTCCTCTTCGTTACTGCCACCGCTTCCGTGTATCTATCCATTGTTATTATCATTACTAAATGTTTAAAAAATGTCTTCTGTCGCCGATTCAACGCAACTCAATGTGCATTTCGTACGCGGGAAAATCGCGTGTAGCCAGTTACCCAGCTAGTTTCTTCGGTGGCAACGGGCAGCAGCAACAGCCACTAACATCAGACGCATTGTTTGTGGTGTTGCAGAGGAACCCGGCTAGCAGCCAGCCAGGGAAACTGGAGGCCATAGGTCACCTTTAATAGCCGTGTGGTTTCAGCATTAACACCGGACACTGGTTCAGTAAGCTTTCGCTTTATTTATCCACAGACTGAGGGGGACTCCACAAAAGTCATCAGCTGGACCAAGACTACACCGCCGACTAAATTCAATTAAAAACGCGGGTTTCATAAAACACCAAGCGCTATGATTTATTTGTGATGTCCTCCCCCCCCCCTCTATATATGTATGTGTATATATTTGTTTTCTAAGCGCACGTGTGTGTGAATGTAATGTGTGTTATTGCTGTGTAGGCGTGCGGCATGTGTGCTAGCACGTACCGGTAACGTAAATCGCCTGCCTGCAACTGCTTTGTCCAGCATCTGGGCGAGTAGTTGCGCAACACGGACATTAAATGGCGCGTTACTCAGAACACCAATAACCAATCATAGGTGGCAAATAGCCTCTACTAGAGAACTCACTGTTCATATGCCAATTTTAAAACACAACCATTGCAATATAATTATCATCTGGTCCTGTGTGGTATTAACAAGCGCGGCTTCCAACTCCCATTATCCACTTCCTCGTAAGTGCGGTGAAGAAGAGCCATTGGCCGAAACGTCACCTGGCCACCGTGTAATTGGCAAATGCGAGTCTTGTTGAGAGAAGTGCAGCACGCGTGGTGATGAAACACGTGGATGCAATCGCTGGGAAGCTCGATCCTTGAGAGCTTAGCTTGCCTCTTGCAAACAATCGGTTGCGCAACTGCTGGCAACCGGTTGCAAAGACGTCCTGAATTCAGTGATGATGATGATGATGATGCGCAGTTATCGCTGGTGCACAAGCGCAAACAAACGACAAACTCAACACTTTCATCAATGACACTGAGACCTTAAAGAGGAACAAAAGAATAATAATAATCATGCAACAAATAGGCGACGTTTCGGGAAATAACGTTTTCAGAACATCTTAAGCATCGTCCGTCGCATGCAACCAAGTTGGGAAACTGGTCACCCAGGTTGTAGACTCTGCTTGAGAGTATGTAGGCGACTCTCACCACTCACGTAGGCACACACACGTGTGTGTTTCTACGTGAGAGTGTGTGTGTGTACGTGAGCAGTGAGCGTGTCTGATCTGTACACGGGATTTTACGGCACACGATACAGTTTATACTGCAGCACGATGACACGCCCAACTTCCAAGTGACCGCGACACCTCGTCCACCGTCATCGCTTCATTCACGGAGACCAGGAGGGGCATCGTCCACCCACACCCCCAAGTATCGATCCCCACCACTGTGTCCAAGGTTAGGGGATGTAGGAGTATAGGGGTGGGGATACCGGGGGGTAGGATTCGGGATATATGTTGAAGGGCTCTAAGGGTAGGGTTAGAGATATAGGGATAGGGTTAGAGATATAGGGGTAGGGATGGAGATGTTGGAGTAGAGTCGGGTCGATAGGGATAAAGTTGTGGATATTGGGGTAGGGTTAGGTTAGGTTGGGTATAGTTCAGGGCTGGGTCTAGAGTTCAGGCTAGTTCAGGTCTAGCGATAGTTGAACCCTGGCACGCACCGACTGATGCAACCACCACCATCATCATCGTCGTCGTCAGGCCGAATCAGGACTGAGGGCTGACTTCACATCATCGGAGCGGCCGTCGGAGCAATCTGGAAGGAGCGAAGGGGCGTTCTGGCGTAAACCCGACACAGACGATACGCGTCAAGGCCGACAAACGGTGTGGAGATCATTCGTGGTGGGGGAGGGGGCTCTTTGGAACACTTACCAGAACCCACTTTCCCATCGCTGTGATTGTGTCCACTGATCACAGATGGCCACGCCATGAAACCTAAACAGCCACTCCTGCATCCACGACCATCCACTCGCTGCGAGCAACGACGAGGCTGTGCTGGGTTACCACGTGCTTTTATCCCCCCCCCCTAGCCACCCTTTTGGTGGAGATCAAACGTGGAACGAGTTTGATGTCATCCTCCGACTGCGCCCGATCAAGTCGGGGGATGTGGGGGAGGGGGGGGTGCAGGGGGTGGGGTTGGAGCAGCGAAGATCTCGCGACCAGATCGGATTTCCCCGTGGTCGAGACTAAGAACGGAGTGGCGGCCAAGGCGTGGAACGCGCACGAGAGGACGCCGAGAGAGAGAGAGAGAGAGGTGAGCAGCTGAAGTAAGGATCGCGCGCAAATGCCTCGTTCGCGGATCGTTTCGTCACAGGATCGGGAGACGCGGCTTGGGGGGGAGGCCTTAATCCAGCAGTGGATTGACCGTGGCTGACAACGACGATGATCGAATGGTGTTTCGGGTCACCCCAACCGGCACTGGCAATCGGCAGGCGGACACTGAACAGGGTCGGACTGGCAGAGCTGTGACGACTCTGCTGCCGATGAGACGGCGAATGTCGAAACCGCTTCCTCCAGAGTTCCTAGCTCGTGACGATCCAATGCTGCCGAATTCACGCACTGACAGAAGGCCGCGTGGCTGATGGAACGTGTACACATCTAAGGATGTAGTGGAAGGGGGGTGGGGGCAAACACGTGAAAGGAGTCAAGTTGTCTGCTAATCTATTTAGTTAATCATAAACGGGTTTTTTTTTGGTGGGGTTAGATCGCGTAAATATAAATGTGTGTCGTTCACCCGCCACCACCCGACACAGCCAATTCGTAAGGTTTGCCACGTAAACAAAACGCGCCAGTGAGTTACGACTCCAGCACACGGGTTGTGCATCGGAGAGCAAACCCACAATATTTTACATGTCGAGCGCAGTGACCTATCGCTGGTGATTACAGTAACAAGCGGACTCCATCAGGCGATTTGGCAGCACTGTGAAGAAGTCTTCGCGTTTTCGGTCTTAAACGGAGGAGTGAATGTGATGCCATCACTGTGAGCCCATCAGGTGCGAAGACCGTGGGATAAATGTTGTTGTTCTTCATTCACAAATGGGCGCGTGACTCTGCACGCGTCACAAGGCAATGGGGGTGGGTGGGGGGCGTTCGGGGAGTGCGCGAGACCAACGCGATAGCGGCCTCTAGTGTTGGCAGTGGAACATTGCCACGAGAGCGCTGGGAAGGGGGGGGGGGGGGGGCAATGGGGGGGGGGGGGCAATGGGGGGGTGGCAGTGAAGAGTTGAGACTTTAGAGTTCGAGAGATAGGTGAACGGGACGAATCGCCTGCTTAAATGTCTCTTAGTATTCCTCCCCAACGACTCTGGTGACTTTTCTGTGTCGTCTATTACAGAGCTGCGCGTTCAACTGGGACCCAAAACTCACGGGGTGGGGGGGGGGTCAAATAGAAACATTTTGCGAGGAATCTGCATTAACCACACACGGTACTTGTGGTGTACATGCAAACAAAACATGCTCTGATAATATATGATGCATTGTCTTTGAAACTGATTGGTCTCCACCAGAGACAGCCTTCTTTAGGGCCTAGTCTCACCGGTGACACGTCTTCTTAGTAATTTTTTCAACGGTATGGCAGTTCACCAGCATTGACTCAAGCACGCAAGACTGGCTGGGGTGAATATTGCGCCTCTGGCGGCTGCGGTGGTTGCACGTGCTTCGAAACACTCAACAACAACTGGCGAGAATCGATTCTCACGCGCGCGGTTCAACAAAACGAGCGTCGTGACGGCCGTGTCCGGCACCTGAGCCATCAAACATCGCTTCGCCTTGAAGTCGTGCGGCTTAATCTACTGCAACTGCTTTGTCCGCATCTGAGCGAGTAGTTGTGCACGTGTCTGGGCGTGGTTAAAGTGTTTGGGCCCGCCCCTTTATGGTTAGCTCCACCCCCCCCCCCCACGTCAAGATCTTAAAGACCAATCAGTGCAGCACGTGACAATGCACCGCGTGACTGCGCATCGACGCCTGAGCGTGGAGTATCGAACGCAGTTTTAAGTTAAATCATCGAAACACAAATTAAGCGTGGGCACGTAAGTACAACTACTTGGTTTTCATGAAACCGATGTATTTATTAACATAAATGTTTTCACGGTTGAGAGCCAAAAGGGTGCAAGGCTGCAGGAAAGGTTACGAACCACTGCTCTACCGTGATTAGCAACCAGGGTTGCACAATTGTTCGCAACCGGTTGTAGAGACGCCCACGTACAAACGAGTCGGTTGCGTGCAACCAAGTTGGTGTGGTTCGAGCTACCACCTGTATGAAATTGACTCGGTGGGACGGTCTGGGAATCCGCATCTGCGTTCGAGTGGCAGGAATATGTCTTATATAGGAACGCCCCCTACTTACGAACATTCGACTTATGAACTTGAGAGACACAAACAAACCTGGTCCGTATGTCCAGTTGCCTGTTCGGACCGAGAGTCGTAAGTTCAACCGCCGCGCAATAGATGGCGGTGGTGGCATCTACAGAACATGAAGAACCAGTGGCATCTACATCTAGAGGACATTATACAACTTTTATAGCCGTTCCCCGTGTATGGAGTACACACCATGCAACTTACGAACAAATCTATTTCCGAACAGACCTCTGGAACCTAACTCGTTCGTAAGTACAGAGATCTGGTACCGACGTTGAGTTGAACCTCAATCTTCGGCTACCGCACGGTTTGGATGATAGACCTCGGTGCTTTGGTGTACGGGGGGGAGGGGTTCATATGACATCTCTAGGTGTGGAATAAATTCTCATCGGGGTTTTATAATCGACGGTTCGTTTTGCTCCCAAACTCCGGAGCTCTGCTGGGATGGGTGACATCGGGAGCTGCGTGCCAGAGCCACCCGCGGGCCCCCGACTGCATGGAGGAGGCTGTCGCCTCCAAGACCCTACCAGATGTACCCCCCTTCGTCGCCCGCCTCCAAGTCCTCCTCCTCCTCGTCCTCGTCATCCCCGTGCTCCTCGTCCCCCCTCTTCGAACCGCCCGTCGCCGCCTCCTCGTCCACCTCGTCCTCCTCCTGGTCATCATCGTCTCCGCCTCCCGTGGGCCAGATCTGGGTGCCGGCGCTGCCCCAGTCTCCGGACGCATCGCCGTCTGAGCGGGGTCACGGGGTCACGGGTTTGTGTGGGGGTGGGTGGGGTGTGGGGGTGGGGGTGGGTGGGTGGCGTGTGGGGGTGGGTGGGTGGGGTGGGGTGTGGGGGTGGGTGGGGTGGGGTGTGGGGGTGGGGTGGGTGAGGTGGGGTGTGGGGGTGGGTGGGGTGGGGTGTGGGGGTGGGTGGGGTGTGGGGGTGGGTGGGGTTGGGTGGGGTGGGGTGTGGGGGGTGGGTGGGGTGTGGGGTGTGGGGTGTGGGGTGTGGGGGGGGTGGGGTGTGGGGGTGGGTGGGGTGGGGTGTGGGGATGGGTGGGTGGGGTGGGGTGTGGGGGTGGGGTGTGGGGTGTGGGGGGGGTGTGGGGGGGGGTGGGGGTGTGGGGGGGTGGGGGGGGGTGTCGTGGGGGGGGGTGGGGTTCGGGGGGGGGTGTGGGGGGTGGGGTGTGGGGGGGGGGTGAGTGGGGTGTGGGGGTGGGTGGGGGGGTTGCTTACCGCAGTCTGGAGGTCCGTGTGTGCGCGACCCCACCACCTCCTGGCCAAAGCGGTCCACGCACCAGCAGAGACGCGCCGTGGCGCCAGCGCACTGCGCAGGGCGGTAGTAGCCATCCTCGTCGCAGCTCGGGGTGTGCAGCACTGCACACACACACACGCACGCACACACACACACACACGCACACACACACACACACGCACACACACACGCACACACACACACACGCACACACACACGCACACACACGCACACACACACACACGCACACACACACACACGCGCACACACACACGCACACACACACACACGCACACACACACACGTGCAAAGCAAAGACAAAGGTCCCCCGGCCAGCGTTCCGCACACACAGTGGCACGCCACCACCAGTGCCACCACCATCACCACCACCTGTACCACCACCTTTACCACCGCCACCATCACCACCACCTTTACCACCGCCGCCACCATCACCACCACCATCACCACCTTTACCACCGCCGCCACCATCACCACCACCATCACCACCTTTACCACTGCCACCACCACCATCACCACCACCATCACCACCTTTACCACTGCCACCACCATCACCACCACCACCATCACCACCTTTACCACCGCCGCCACCATCGTCACCACCAGCGAGCGCCGATTGCCAACGCGGCACGATCCATGCAGGGTGGAGCAGCTGCCGAGTGGAGCAGCTGACGAGTGGAGCGGCTGCAGGGTGGAGCGGCTGCAGGGTGGAGCGGCTGCAGGGTGGAACACTTTTCCTACCTAGCAACGTCTGTCCAGGCTGCTCCTGCTGGAGGCGCTCCACTTCGGCCAGACACGGGGGCTCTGCAGAGAGACGATGGCGAGGGTCGTGATGGTCATGATGGTAATTATGGTGGTGGTGGTGGTGGTGGTATCGGTGATGACAATGATGGTGGTGGGGGTGACAACGATTGTGGTGATGATAGTGCTGGTGATGAAGATGACGATCTATGAGACTTCCTGTTCACCTCCAGCTGCCCTCATATCCGTGTGTCCCCGTGTCCCCGTGTCCCCATGTCTGCATGTGTCCCCGTGTCTCCGTGGGAACCACAACACGGGCGGCACGTGGATAGCACCCACAGGTCTACACAGACGGGTTCGTGATCCCCGTCATGGTCACACCGCCAAGGTGCGAGCTCCTGAACAAGGATCCCCCTGCCTCCAAGTTCCTCTGTCCAGGCCAGATCGTTGCTCGACACCATCATCATCATCACCATCATCACCACCATCATCATCATCACCACCATCATCATCATCACCCCCTTCATCATCACTATCATCATAACCATCATCACCACCATCATCACCACCATCATCACCACCATCATCATCACCATCATCATCACCATCATCACCATCACCATCATCACTATCATCACAATCATCATCACCACCATCATCACCATCATAATCACCATCATCACCACCATCATCATCACCATCTGCATCACCACCATCATCATCATCCCCATCATCATCACCACCATCATCATCACCACCATCACCACCATCATCATCATCATCACCATCATCACCATCATCATCACCATCATCACCATCATCATCACCATCATCATCACCATCATCACCATCATCATCACCATCATTATCATAACCATCATCATCATCACCAGCATCACCACCATCATCACCATCACCATCATCACTATCATCACAATCATCACCACCATCATCACCATCATAATCACCATCATCACCACCATCATCATCACCATCTGCATCACCACCATCATCCCCATCATCATCACCACCATCATCACCACCATCACCACCATCATCATCACCATCATCACCATCATCATCACCATCATCACCATCACCATCATTATCATAACCATCATCACCATCATCACCACCATCATCACCACCACCAACATCACCATCATCATCACCACCATCATCATCACCATCATCATCACCATCATCATCATCACCATCATCACCATCACCATCATCACCATCATCACCATCATCACCATCACTATCATCACCATCATCATCACCATCATCACCACCATCATCATCACTACCACCATCATCATCATCATCACCATCATCATCACAATCATCACCACCACCATCATCACCATCATCATCGCCATCATCACCACCATCACCATCATCACCATCATCACCATCATCACCACCATCACCATCATAATCACCATCATCACCATCATCATCACCATCATCACCACTATCATCACCACCATCATCACCACCATCATCATCACCATCATCATCACCATCATCATCATCACCATCATCATCACCATCATCATCACCATCATCACCATCATCACCATCACCACCATCATCACCACCATCATCATCACCATTATCACCGTCATCATCATCATCACCATCATCACCATCACCATCATCACCATCATCATCACCATCATCACCACCATCATCACCACCATTATCACCATCACCATCATCACCACCATCATCACCATCATCACCACCATCACCACCACCATCATCACCATCATCACCATCATCATCACCACCATCACCACCATCACCACCATCATCACCATCACCATCAGGCCTCCCTCCCAAAGCCGCCGCAAACCTCTCAGGATCTCGCCCCGGTACGATCAGTTCAGGGCCGAGGAGGCGAGTGATGAGGTGAGGGCTGACGGGATGACGCGCGATGTGGCAAGGGTCACGATGAGGGTTGACGAGGTGAGGCTTGACGAGGTTGACCGACACCAACCCCCCAGCCCTCCCCCACCCCAGCTCCCCACCTCCTCCCCCAACACCTCCAATCAGCACGGTTGGCTACACACGGCGCGAAAGAAGTTCAACAACAACCGCCATTCGCCACGAAGTGGTGGTGACGTCACCACAACGCTTGTGCCAGGCTACGTGCACCTCGAGGCCACGACCGAAGTTCAACGCACGCGCACGCGCACACAAGCCTCCCAACCCCGCCAGCCCCCACCTCCCTACCCCCCCCCGCCCCCCCGCACTCACTGGGCCGCTGGTAGCAGGAGCACCACTGCGCCGCGTGCAGCTCCGAGCGCTCTCCGGGCGAGGCGCAGGAGCGTAGGAAGGGGCGGATGCAGTGCTCGTACTTGTCCTGGTAGATGCCGCTCAGCTCGGACGCGTCCAGCCGCCGGTCCGCGTTGCCGTCCAGCCGCTCGAACATCCAACCCACGGGGCCCGCGCAGGGGGGCGCGGCGGCACCCCCGGGACCCCCGGGACCCCCGGGGTCAGCGGCGGGCATGGCCCCGCGTGCGGCTCGCCCGTCCCCGTACAGAACCCCGAACCAGTCCTTGAGACGGCCCGACACGTCCAGCAGGTCCTCCTGCGTACACACCTCTGTGGGGGGGTGGGGGGGGGGGCAAGGAGGGGAGGGGAATGTGGGGGGGGGGGCACGAAGGGCAGTGGTGGATATTAAACGTTGCCGAAGAGGGGGCCGGGGTAGCGGTCCTAAAATAAATAAATAACAACTCTTGATTTAAAGCTTTCGTGACTGCAGTGATTCATATTCTTGGTTCCTCACGTTGAAGGGAAACAATAAAATAATAAAATATATAAAACAATAAAATTCTCACGACGTTTCGACTGTAACACAAACAGTCATCATCAGGTGTGAAAACCAAAGACAAGAAGCATTTGAAAGAAGTGTCGGTCTGTATTTATTTTAAAACGGTGTTTGTGTTTGTTTATTTATTTATTTTAAAAAACGTTAGCGCCACGGAGAGCGATTTGACAGTTTGTTTAGAAGGACGAGTCCATCTATGTTCGGAAAAGAGGAGGGGGGAGACGAAAATTTAATGTATGCTGTTTGAAAGCCACCGTAAGCGTGAACAATCAGTTAAGACCCGAGATGGTTTATAAAATCCTTCCAATGATTGCTAAGCCATAATCCATTTTCTCGGTTGAAATTGTTTCTTTGTTTGTATATGTGGATAGCCTCATGAACGAATCTATCATGGTAGCCCGATGGCTTGCAAAGACAGCATACATTAAATTTTCGTCTCCCCCCTCCTCTTTTCCGAACATAGATGGACTCGTCCTTCTAAACAAGCTGTCAAATCGCTCTCCGTGGCGCTAACGTTTTTAAAAAAAAACATAATACAAACACCGTTCAAAAGTAAATAAACACAAACAACGTTTTAAAATAAATTAATAAATACAAACCGCCACTTCTTTCAAATGCTTCTTGCCGTTGTTTTTTTTTTTACACCTGATGATGACTGTTTGTGTTACAGTCTAAACGTTGTGAGAATTTTATTGTTTTATATATATTTTATTATTTCATTGTTTCCCTTCAACGTGACTTTAGCGAAAGAAACAAGAATATAAATAACAACTCGTTAAACAGGGCCCCAACACGAATAACATTTAGCAACGTTTAATCTATTGTCTCTAGTACATCATAAAATATCAATGTTGGGGGTCTCAAGTGCGGGGCAAGATTGCATCCATGGCCCACCTACCCCGAATCCGCCTCTTGTTTATGCGACTCTATGGGCTTCTGCATGAATCTATGGGTCTCTGTGTGATGAGTCTATGGGTCTCTGTGTGATGAGTCTATGGGTCTCTGTGTGATGAGTCTATGGATCTCTGTGTGATGAGTCTATGGGTCTCTGTGTGATGAGTCTATGGATCCCTGGGTGATGAGTCTATGGGTCTCTGTGTGATGAGTCTATGGGTCTCTGTGTGATGAGTCTATGGATCTTTGTGTGATGAGTCTATGGGTCTCTGTGTGGTGAGTCTATGGGTCTCTGCATGATGAGTCTATGGGTCTCTGTGTGATGAGTCTATGGGTATCTGTGTGATGAGTCTATGGGCTTCTGCGTGAGTCCATGGGTCTCTGTGTGATGAGTCTATGGGTCTCTGTGTGATGAGTCTATGGATCTGTGTGATGAGTCTATGGGTCTCTGTGTGATGAGTCTATGTGTCTCTGTGTGATGAGTCTATGGATCTCTGTGTGATGAGTCTATGGATCTCTGTGTGATGAATCTATGGGTCTCTGTGTGATGAGTCTGGGTCTCTGTGTGATGAGTCTATGGGCTTCTGCGTGAGTCTATGGGTCTCTGTGTGATGAGTCTATGGGTCTCTGTGTGATGAGTCTATGGATCTCTGTGTGATGAGTCTATGGGTCTCTGTGTGATGAGTCTATGGGTCTCTGTGTGACGAGTCTATGGATCTCTGTGTGATGAGTCTATGGGTCTTTGTGTGACGAGTCAATGGATCTCTGTGTGATGAGTCTATGGGTCTCTGTGTGATGAGTCTATGGGTCTCTGTGTGATGAGTCTGTGGGTCTCTGTGCGATGCGTCTATGAGTCTCTGTGTGGTGAGTCTCTGTGTCTCTTTCTGATGAGTCTATGGGTCTGTGTGGTGAGTCTATGGGTCTCTGTGTGATGAGTCTGGGTCTCTGTGTGATGAGTCTGGGTCTCTGTGTGATGAGTATATGGGTCTCTGTGTGATGAGTCTATGGGTCTCTGCATTATGAGTCTATGGGTCTCTGTGTGATGAGTCTATGGGTCTCTGTGTGATGAGTCTATGGGCTTCTGCGTGAGTCTATGGATCTCTGTGTGATGAGTCTATAGGTCTCTGTTTGATGAGTCTATGAGTCTCTGTGTGTCAAGTCTGTGTGGTGAGTCTGTGGGTCTCTGTGTGATGAGTCTATGGGTCTCTGTGTGATGAGTTTATGGGTCTCTGCGTGATGAGTCTATGGGTCTCTGTGTGGTGAGTCTATGCGTCTCTGTGTGTCAAGTCTGTGTGGTGAGTCTGTGGGTCTCTGTGTGATGAGTCTATGGGTCTCTGTGTGATGAGTCTATGGGTCTCTGTGTGTGGTGCGTCTATGGGTCTCTGTGTGGTGAGTCTATGGGTCTCTGTGTGGTGAGTCTATGGGTCTCTGCGTGATGAGTCTATGGGTCTCTGTGTAGTGAGTCGACTGCGTGATGAGTCTATGGGTCTCTGTGTGTCAAGTCTGTGTGGTGAGTCTGTGGGTCTCTGTGTGGTGAGTCTGTGGGTCTCTGTGTAAGGAGGTGAGGTATGATGAGGCGTGGGGTAACGAGGTGAGGAAGGCGAGAGGGTGTGAGGGCTGCATGGGTAATGCGGTGAGGGATGAAGGACGAGGTGTGTAAGGGTGAGGAGGCGAGGGATGAAGAGGTGAGCGGGGGTGAGGAGGTGCCCCCTCACCATCGTGTGTGATGTCCTTGGTGCTGTCGGACGCGGGGACACACGGACACCGTCCGGGGCAACGCATCGCGAGACGCTTCCCCGCCAGGCACGCCTGGTGCTGCATCTTGCACTGCGCAGACACGGGGACACGGGGATATAGGGTCACGTGGACACACGGGGACACACGGGGACACACGGAGATGTGGGGTCACGTGGACACACGAGGATATGTGGTCACGTGGACACACGGGGGGGCGTGGGGGGGATACAAGGACATAGCAAATGACCCCCCCTACCCCCCCCCGTGCAAGCCCTGGGGAGGAGAGCACCTTGGAGGAGTAGGAGTGCCCGTCGGAGGCACAGACGGGGTCTCGGGGTCCGTGGGGGCATGGGGGGCACTGCTTGCGCCCAGGGCCCCCCCCTCCCTGGCTCACCCCCTCGGCCGGTCTCTTAGTGGCACCGTGCTTGCCGCTAAGGGCACACAGACAGCGGCCATCGTCGTCATCAACAGCAGCGATATCATCTGAAGTGTCACTGTGTCGTCACTGTGTCGTCACTGCGAGGGTGGTGTCAGTGTGCCGTGTCAGAGTGCCGTGTCAGAGTGCCGTGTCAGAGTGCCGTGTCAGCGGTGTCAGAGTGCCGTGTCAGAGTGCCGTGTCAGAGTGCCGTGTCAGAGTGCCGTGTCAGAGTGCCGTGTCAGAGTGCCGTGTCAGAGTGCCGTGTCAGAGTCAGCGTGCCGTGTCAGAGTGCCGTGTCAGCGGTGTCAGAGTGCCGTGTCAGAGTGCCGTGTCAGAGTGCCGTGTCAGAGTGCCGTGTCAGCGTGCCGTGTCAGAGTGCCGTGTCAGAGTGCCGTGTCAGCGGTGTCAGTGTGCCGTGTCAGAGTGCCGTGTCAGCGTGCCGTGTCAGCGGTGTCAGTGTGCCGTGTCAGTGTGCCGTGTCAGAGTGCCGTGTCAGAGTGCCGTGTCAGAGTGCCGTGTCAGAGTGCCGTGTCAGAGTGCCGTGTCAGAGTCAGCGTGCCGTGTCAGAGTGCCGTGTCAGCGGTGTCAGAGTGCCGTGTCAGTGTGCCGTGTCAGAGTGCCGTGTCAGCGGTGTCAGAGTGCCGTGTCAGAGTGCCGTGTCAGAGTGCCGTGTCAGCGGTGTCAGAGTGCCGTGTCAGAGTGCCGTGTCAGCGTGCCGTGTCAGCGGTGTCAGAGTGCCGTGTCAGAGTGCCGTGTCAGCGTGCCGTGTCAGCGGTGTCAGCGTGCCGTGTCAGAGTGCCGTGTCAACGTGCCGTGTCAACGTGCCGTGTCAGAGTGCCGTGTCAGTGTGCCGTGTCAGAGTGCCGTGTCAGAGTGCCGTGTCAGCGGTGTCAGCGTGCCGTGTCAGAGTGCCGTGTCAGAGTGCCGTGTCAGCGGTGTCAGTGTGCCGTGTCAGAGTGCCGTGTCAGCGTGCCGTGTCAGAGTGCCGTGTCAGAGTGCCGTGTCAGAGTGCCGTGTCAGAGTGCCGTGTCAGAGTGCCGTGTCAGAGTGCCGTGTCAGTGTGCCGTGTCAGCGGTGTCAGAGTGCCGTGTCAGCGGTGTCAGCGTGCCGTGTCAGAGTGCCGTGTCAACGTGCAGTGTCAACGTGCCGTGTCAGAGTGCCGTGTCAGTGTGCCGTGTCAGAGTGCCGTGTCAGAGTGCCGTGTCAGCGGTGTCAGCGTGCCGTGTCAGAGTGCCGTGTCAGAGTGCCGTGTCAGCGGTGTCAGTGTGCCGTGTCAGAGTGCCGTGTCAGCGTGCCGTGTCAGAGTGCCGTGTCAGAGTGCCGTGTCAGAGTGCCGTGTCAGAGTGCCGTGTCAGAGTGCCGTGTCAGTGTGCCGTGTCAGCGGTGTCAGAGTGCCGTGTCAGCGGTGTCAGTGTGCCGTGTCAGAGTGCCGTGTCAGCGTGCCGTGTCAGAGTGCCGTGTCAGCGGTGTCAGAGTGCCGTGTCAGCGTGCCGTGTCAGAGTGCCGTGTCAGAGTGCCGTGTCAGAGTGCCGTGTCAGAGTGCCGTGTCAGCGGTGTCAGAGTGCCGTGTCAGCGTGCCGTGTCAGAGTGCCGTGTCAGTGTGCCGTGTCAGAGTGCCGTGTCAGCGTGCCGTGTCAGAGTGCCGTGTCAGAGTGCCGTGTTAGAGTGCCGTGTCAGCGGTGTCAGAGTGCCGTGTCAGCGTGCCGTGTCAGAGTGCCGTGTCAGAGTGCCGTGTCAGAGTGCCGTGTCAGCGGTGTCAGAGTGCCGTGTCAGCGTGCCGTGTCAGAGTGCCGTGTCAGTGTGCCGTGTCAGAGTGCCGTGTCAGAGTGCCGTGTTAGAGTGCCGTGTCAGAGTGCCGTGTCAGAGTGCCGTGTTAGAGTGCCGTGTCAGAGTGCCGTGTCAGAGTGCCGTGTCAGAGTGCCGTGTCAGAGTGCCGTGTCAGAGTGCCGTGTCAGCGGTGTCAGAGTGCCGTGTCAGAGTGCCGTGTCAGCGGTGTCAGTGTGCCGTGTCAGAGTGCCGTGTCAGAGTGCCGTGTTAGAGTGCCGTGTCAGCGGTGTCAGAGTGCCGTGTCAGCGTGCCGTGTCAGAGTGCCGTGTCAGAGTGCCGTGTCAGCGGTGTCAGAGTGCCGTGTCAGCGTGCCGTGTCAGAGTGCCGTGTCAGTGTGCCGTGTCAGAGTGCCGTGTCAGAGTGCCGTGTCAGAGTGCCGTGTCAGAGTGCCGTGTCAGAGTGCCGTGTCAGAGTGCCGTGTTAGAGTGCCGTGTCAGAGTGCCGTGTCAGCGGTGTCAGAGTGCCGTGTCAGAGGGCCGTGTCAGAGTGCCGTGTTAGAGTGCCGTGTCAGAGTGCCGTGTCAGCGGTGTCAGAGTGCCGTGTCAGAGTGCCGTGTCAGAGTGCCGTGCCCCTACCCGCCGCCGCTGCTGCGCCGTGGCTCCGCGCCCGGGGCCGCGACGCACGTGGTCGCGTCGCGGCCCCGGCGCACGCAGCGCCGGTGCGGTCCGCAGCGCACGTCCCGACACGGGTCCCAGCCGCCTGCACAGTCACGTGCACAGTCACGTGCACAGTCACAGACAAGACAGAGATCCCCCATTTCGCCTTCACAGACAATTTAGAGCAAGTGCTGTAAGCGAGCATCTATGAAGGGCGGGACAGCGCACGAGGGGGTGGGTGGCCAGCGCCACGCCTGGCCGCCTTTGTCTCCCCAGTGGCGATGTTCGCACATCGCACCCAGGTAGTAATGTTGAGGCTGAGTCGACCTAGGCGAGGCCTAGGACGAGTTCAGATACTGGTGTTGGTTGTGAGCGGGAATCGAACCCCGGGTTGCATGGTTCGTAGCGCAGCGCGCTAACCGCCACACCACCGCTCCCCACAACAGGCATACACACTCGCACACACTCACACTATGGTCACAGTCATACAGGCGAGCTCACACGCAGTCACACTACAGTCGGACGGCATCGTCGGTCGCACGCAGCCGTTGCCCTACAATCAACACGAGCCATACATTAACAAACAGTCATAGCCACGGATTGTTTTCGCGTCGTTGACGTTTGCCCACTGCAAGTTACAATGCATGTCACAAACTATGGCAGCCATCTAGTCCAACACCAGTGGAGACTAGGCTCTAAGAAAAGCCGTCTCGGGTGTGGACCAATCAAATTCAAGGACAGTGCCAATATCATTATCAGAGTTGTCTCTTTTTGTTTGCATTTTTGACTGCTTGTGTTGTGGTCATTGCAAACATGATCCCTTGTATAAAGGTGTCAGTTTTTGTGCCAGCTAAAAGGGTAAAAACCTATTACTATACGGCAGGAAAAGCCGGGGAAAGCGGAGAAGCCGGAAGAAACTCGTTCAGAAGAGGGGCGAGAAGTTGCAAACTGCGCACAGGGAGGCACCCGAGAAGGGAATCGAACCCGGGGGCGAGTGTCGCCGCTGCGTCGCCACTCGCCGTGTCTCACCGGAGGCGCCTTGAGCCTTCGTCTGGTCCCACGATTTGAAGGAATCGTCCTTCGCACGCACGCACGCAGAGACACAAAGATAAAGATCCCACCCCCTCCCCGTGTAGCCTCAACAGACTGTTGGTGCGAGTGCTGTTAGCGAGCGCCTATGAAGGCCGGCACGGCACACGAAGGGGGTGGGTGCCCAACACCACGCCCGGTCGTGTCTTATCTCCCCAGTGGCGACGTTTACACATTGCGCCAGATACTCATTTGAGGCTGAGTCGACCTAGGGGCGGCTCAGGACCCGTTCAGGTAAACAGGTCACCAGTATTGACCGGATTGGATTCGAGTCACAAGGTTAGTAGCTCAGCTCGCGAACCACTACACACACACACGCAGCCACAGTTAAACACACGCACACACACGCAGCCACAGTTACATACAAACACGACGTGTGTGACTTGGTAATCGGTGTGACGAATCTTAATTGGGTATCCAATTACGTGTCTAATTGAGTGCCTAATTAATTGGTTGTCTATTTGGATGCCTACTTATGTATGTATCGTCAACTTCTTTCGCACTGCACGTAGTCAACCTTGTTCAACGGAGGCGCGGAATGTTGCGTCTCATTGAGTGTATAATTGGCTGTCTTAATCGCTAGACGTGCAGTGAAAGCAAGAGATAAATTATACACCAACCTCGACCTCCTAGGTAGCGTACAGCGTGGGGGGAGGGGTGGGGGGTTGAGTTACAAGGATCATACAAAATCACTGTCCAATCACCATCGCAATCAAAATCACACATTATCAAGGCTCATGGTTCATCCACTGCTGGATGAAGATCTCCTAAAGACGTCAACATCAGTCACTACAATCCACTCCGCTCCTGATCTCACAGCTCCATCTCCGCGGCGGGTCGGCCTCTTGAGCGCGTCCCCCTCCTCACTCGAATCACCGCGGCCCAGCGGTAGTGCATGGGCCGCTGGTTGCAAGAGGTTTTTGACGGTTCGAATACAGAGGCCGCCCTGATGAATACTGCGGCGTGTATTAACCATACAAATCCTACGACTACCACCACCAGGCGCCCGTCTCCTTCACAGTGAATGTCAAAGATCCAGTGACGCCATTGGCAAGAGCAGGCCATTGTGTGCCGGCGTCATGGTCGACATTTTCCGAATTCCCCTAAGCTACGCGCGAATGACTCAAGCGGAATCTACAACGCAATCGCGACACCTCGCTTCAAAAACTCAGCAGCGTCAGGGGCGGAGCCAGGGGGGGGGGGGGGGCGACCGGGGGTGACATTCTGCGTGTAAGTGTACGACACTCGGTCTGGCGGACTCCGTGCAACTGCGTTGTCAGAGTGTGTCGCCAACCGATGGCGTCTAGTTCGACAGCCTGACTCTCTAAATAATTCTTGAAATTAACATTTGTTGAATGTCACCCCGGCCTGAAATCCTGGCTCCGCCCCTGAGCAGCGTCCTCCTGGAAACGAGTCACGAGACTCCGCGAGGCTTCCTCTCCTTGACTCGACTCCGCTTGCCCTGGTGCGCCGCGGGTAAAGCAGTCGCTGGTCGCCTGCAAGGTCACCGCGCAATGCTCTTCGGAGTCTCAAGGCTCGTTTTCAGGAGGCGCCTGCTCCTTTGGGATGTTTGTCCAATTCCTATCGGGGGTTTATTATTTTTTTTTATGTAACGCGAGTTTCCTTCTCGCCGGAACAATAAAAAAACATCACCAAGCAGACGAGGAGGTAATGATATTAATAATTAAAACGGATAATTGCGCATTCCGTCCTCCGATCCCAGCGCGCAACGTATGAAAAGCAGGAAACAAAAACAGAACCCAGGGAGCAACCGACCAAACTAAAGAGGCGCGGACACTTTAAAGAGGTGGGGTTTTCAAAGCAGATTTAAACATATCTCCTGAATCCGGTTGCCTGATTTCAAGTGGCAAGGCGTCCCATAGTTTGGGTGCCACGCTAACAAAAGCCCGGTCACCGAAACAGCGCAACCTGTAGACCTGGCAGTGCTGAGCAGTTGTAGATCAGAAGATCTTAAGGACCTTGATGGAATATGTAAATGTATCAGTTCCTGTAAGATCTTAAGGACTTTGATGGAATATGAAAATGTATCAATTCCTGTGAGATCTTAAGGACCTTGATGGAATATGTAAATGTATCAGTTCCTGTAAGATTTTAAGGACCTTGATGGAATATGTAAATGCATCAGTTCCTGTAAGATCTTAAGGACCTTGATGGAGTATGTAAATGTATTAGTTCCTGTAAGTAATGTGGGCTGAGCCCTTTTTAAAGCCGTATCGCTTAATAAACACTCCCAAGGGTCCGCTGCACACAACGCATCAGCGTCCTGCTCGCTGTTACTGCTCCCTCGGTGGCCATGAGGCGAGCAGTACAGCAAGTAGAGTCCACGGCTGGCGAGGCGCCGTGGGGAAGCCACGGCTGCTGTCCGTGGTGCTGAGCCGAAGCTGCGGCCGAACGGACAGAAGCAGCGAGGCCACAGGACGGAAGCAGCGTGGGATGGTGGTGGTTAGGATGTTGGCTATGGTACTTGTGGTACCGGTGGACTACCTTCGTTAAATTTATACTGTAAAGTATTGCGATGCCTCTTCTTTAGTGGGGGCGAGGTCTTACTCAATACATACATTGATTTAATGAATTGCTAATGGTAGTGGCAGTGGTGGTGGAGGTGATGGTTGTAGTTGTGGTGGTGGTGGTTGGTTACGGTGGTGGTATTGGCGATTTTGTTGGTGCATCTGATAGTGGTGGCGGTGGTAGCGGCGATGGCGGTAGTTGTGGCGGAATTCAAATGAGATATGAGAGTGTGGCAGGAGAGAGATGAACTGACGATACGGACGAGAGGGAATAGCGATGTAGCCAGGAAGAGACGGATGACAGAGATGCATTCAGACAAGGTCAGAGGAAGAGAATTCTTATCTCAGAAGGGAGATAACAGGAGAGCAAAGGGAGAGATGAGGGAGGGCGGACACGCGTGGGTGGATTACCTCACCCAATGGACCCACTCTCACCAGCCGCACCCCGCGTTAAGCCACCTACGTACAATCGCTATTTCCAGCAGTCGTGTGGGTTAGTTAACTCGACAGACTTAATTACAGTAAACATTGTTACAATGTCAAAGCTCGCAATCATGATTTGGTCTGATGGAAAGTTACATACTCCACCCCCCCCCTCCCTCCCACATATACATCAGCCGGATCCGAATTAAAACCGGATGTCTGGGTACAACCCCAAATACTTCCCCTGAATAGTTTACCCTTTGAGCTTTCTGGGGCCCGAGGTAACCGCGTATCTGTTCATGCTCAGCACCAGTACAGTGAGTTAATGTCACTGCATAACTGGGCACACGCAGGCTTAGTGTGTGCAGTGTGAGTATGTTCGCGTGTGTGAGAGTGTGTGCGAGTCTGTGCACCTGTGAGTGTGGGGGTGTGGCATGGTGCTGGCCACCCACCCACCCCTTCGTGTGCCGTTCAGACCGTCACGCGTACCCGTCGCTTCGTGTGCGCGGTGCGTGGTGCGTGTGCGCGGTGCGTGTGCTCGGTGCGCGTGCTCGGTGCGTGTGCGCGCACAAAGCCGAATGATGTCGACTTGGCCGTGCAATCGGGTTAAGCACGCTCCCGCCGTGGCGATCCGCTGAAACGCGGGGCTCACGGTGGCAGGGAAAGAACAGCAGGGAAGGCGCGGGCAGACCCCGGGGGGGGGGGGGAGCAGGGAGCGTGGTGGGAGCAGGGGGCAAGGGGATCACGGGGAGCAGAGATAATAGGGGGAGTAAGGAGAGCGTGGAGATGGGGCGAGCGGGGAGAGCGTGAAGTGGGGAGGGGGGGTGGAGGCAAGAATAGTGTGGTGGTGGTGGTGGTGGTGGGGGTGGTGGTGGTGGTGGTCGTGGTGGTGGTGGTGGTGGTCGTGGTGGTGGTGGTGGTGGTGGTGCAGGTACCACGAGGGGGGGGGGGGGAGGGTGCAGAGCAGGGGGGAGGGTGTGCTGCAACGAGGGAGGAGGGGGGAGCAGGGACGAGGGGGGAGCAGGGAGGTTGGGGCTCCGTACGTCGTGGAATTTTCCGGGGTAGGCGAGGTCGGGGTGGGGGAGCGGCCCCCCCGGGCCCCCCCGCAGCTTCAGCGCGCGGGACTCGAGGGGGAGTCGCGACGCGAGCAGCAGCAGCAGCAGGGGGGGGAGCCCGGCACACAGCGTCTAGAGAGGGGGGGGGGGCACAAAGACAAAGGTCCCCCGTATAGCCTTGACCAGACTGTTGTGGCAAGTGCTGTCAGCGAGCACCTATGAAGGCCGGCACGGCGCACGAGGTGGGTGGCCAGCGCCGCCTTTGTCTCCCCGGTGGCGATGTTTACTCCACACCGCACCTCTGGGGAGGCCCAGGATCGGTTCAGGTAATCGTCGCCCGGTGTTGACCGTGAGCGGGAATCGAACTCGGGTCGCCGGGTTCGTAGCGCAGTGCGCTAACCGCTACGCCACCGCTCCCCCACACACAGCCACGCGCACGGCAGTGCCGAGATGCGTGCAGACTGCATAGAGGGGAGAAGGGGGGGGGAGAAAGGGGGGGGAGAAGGGGGGGGGGGGGGAGAAGGGGGGGAGGGGAGAAGGGGGGGGAAGATGTAGGGAAAGGGAGGACCGGGAGACGCGGGGAGAGATTGGGGAGAGCAAGACGACTCCTCACCGCTCCTCACCATCACTCACCACCCACGACCACTCACCACCACTCACCTTTTCATGCATCGCTCCTGCAAAGCGCTCCTCTCGCTGCAAGCGCAGCTCCCCCCTCCTCCCGTGTCTCTCCCTCCTCTCCCGTCTCCTCTCTCCTTATCCCTCCCGTCTCTAACCTCTCCTCTGTCTCTCTCTCCTATCTCCCCGTCTCCGCTCTCTTACAGTGTCTCGTTATTCTCTCCCTCTGCCCCCGTCTCTCTCCCTCTCCTCTATCTCTCCCCCCGCTCTCCTCTATCTCCCCCGCTCCTCTGTCTCTCCCGTCTCTCTCTCTCCCGCTCCTGTGTCTCTCCCGTGTGTCTCTCTCTCCGGTGTCTCTCTCGCGCTCTCTCCGTCTCAGCGCAGACCCCACCGTGTGTGAGCGATGCCTGGGCGCTGTCTCTCGCAGAGGAGTCGAATGTCGGAGTCGACGGATCCGATCCGGAAAAAAACGAATGCACGCTGCCTCTGCGGCGTGAACACACAACCAGCATCATCATCAGCAGCAGCACCATCATCATCATCAGCAGCACTGCCATACACGTAATAATCATGACACAGATCATCAGCATTATCAGCATCATCATCAGCACCATCATCATCAGCACTGCCATACACGTAATCATTACACAGATCATCAGCATCATCATCATCATCAGCACCATCATCAGCAGCATTGCCATACACGTAGTCATTACACAGATCATCATCAGCATCAGCACCATCATCATCATCAGCAGCAGCACTGGCAATCACGTAATCATGACACAGATCATCAGCATTATCATCAGTACCATCATCATCAGCACTGCCATACACGTTATCATTACACAGATCATCATCAGCATCATCATCGGCACCATAATCATCATCAGCAGCACTGCCATACACGCAATCATTATACACATCATCATCACACACCATTACACACACATCGTCATCATCACACATCATTACACACATCATCATCACACATCATTACACACATCATCATCACATACCATTACACACACATCATCATCACACATCATTACACACACATCATTACACATATCGTCATCATCACACATCATTACACACATCATCATCGTCACACATCATTACACACATCGTCATCATCATCACACATCATTACACACATCGTCATCATCATCACACATCATTACACACATCGTCATCATCACACATCATTACACACATCATCATCATCACACATCATTACACACATCATCATCATCATCACACATCATTACACACATCATCATCATCATCACACATCATTACACACACATCGTCATCATCATCACACATCATTACACACACATCGTCATCATCATCACACATCATTACACACATCATCACACATCATTACACACATCATCATCATCACACATCATTACACACATATCGTCATCATCACACATCATTACACACATCATCATCATCACACATCATTACACACATCATCATCACACATTATTACACACATCATCATCATCACACATCATTACACACGTCATCAAACATCATTACACACACATCGTCATCATCACACGTCGTCGTTATCACACGTCATCATCACACATCGTCATTACACACGTAGTCATCACACACATCGTCATCACACACATCATCATTACACACACATCTTCACACATCATCATCATCCCACATCGTCATCATCACACATCGTCAATATCACACATCGTCATCACACACATCGTCATCACACACATCGTCATCATCCCACACCAGCACTGCAGATGGCGATGTGTGATGATGTTGAGTTTGTGATTATGTTGAGTTTAGATGATGTTGAAGTGTGGATAATGATGATAATCATCTGTGTGATGGTGATAAACATGTTGATGCTAATGACGTGTGCATTGATGATGCGTATGACAGGGCCGATGATACTGACAATGATGAGTGTGATGATGACACACAAATCATCATCACACACATCGTCATCACACACATCGACATCACACACGTTGACATCATCACACGTCATCACACACGTCGTCATCACACACGTCATCATCACACACGTCGTCATCACACACGTCGTCATCACACACAGTCATCATCACACACGTCATCATCACACATCGTCATCACACACATAGTCATCACACACATCGACATCACACATGTCGTCATCACACACGTTGTCATCATCACACGTCATCATCACACATCGTCATCACACACATAGTCATCATCACATGTCGTCATCACAGATCGTCATCACACACATAGTCATCATCACGTCGTCATCACACACATCGTCATCACACATGTCGTCATCACACACATCGTCATCACACACATAGTCATCATCACATGTCGTCATCACACACATCGTCATCACAAACATCATCACACACATCGTCATCACACACGTCGTCATCATCACATGTCGTCATCACACACGTCGTCATTATCATACGTCGTCATTGCACATATCGTCATCGCACATCATCATTGCACACCACGTCATCATCACACTCATCATTGTCAGTATCATCAGCCCTGTCATACGCATCATCAATGCACACGTCATTAGCATCAACATGTTTATCACCATCACACAGATGATTATCACCATTATCCACATCTTCAACATCATCTAAACTCAACATCATCACAAACTCAACATCATCACACATCGCCATCTGCAGTGCTGGTGGTGGTGGCTGCGCACAGTGGGGTGGCGGTGGTGGTGGTGATGGTAATGGTGGTGGTGGTATGAGCACAGTGTGGTGGTGGTGGCTGAGCTCAGTGGGGTGGTGATGGTGGTGGTTATGGTGGTGGCTGAGCAGTGTGGTGGTGGTGGTGGTGATGGTAATGGTGGTGGTGGCTGAGCACAGTGTGGTGGTGGTGGTGGTGGTTATGGTGGTGGCTAAGCGGTGTGGTGGTGGTGGTTATGGTGGTGGTGGCTGAGCACAGTGCTGTGGATGAGACCGCTCTAGCCCGAGTGCTCATCACGGGAGGCGAGGAGTGAGCCTCACGAGCGATGCTCGACAGACGGGGGGGGGGGAGGGGTAAGGAGGTGGTGAGGGGGGCTGCGGAATGTCCATGTAACAGCTGCGCAGCAGTGGATTCTTGAACCAACGTGTGCGGAGCTGTGGGAGTCAAGGATCCCCCCCCCTCGACTCCCCACTGCCTCCCCCACCCAGCGGGCCATGTAGTCGCGGGCGGTCTTCCCCGCAGCCCCCGCTAGGCGGCGACCCCGGGCCGCAGGAGGAGCCCCCCACAGCCTCACCCCGAGCGTTCCTTCCCCTTCCCAACAGCTGCTGCTACTCCCACCACACCCCCTTCTCCCTACCCCCCACCCCCTGCTCCCTCCCCCCACACCCTGCTCCCTCCCCCCCACCCCCTGCTCCCTCCCCCCCACCCCCTGCCCCCCCCACCCCCTGCTCCCTCCCCCCCACCCACTGCTCCCTCCCCCCCACCCCCTGCTCCCTCCTCCCCACCCCCTGCCCCCCCCCACCCCCTGCTCCCTCCCCCCCCCCTGCTCCCTCCCCCCCACCCCCTGCTCCCTCCCCCCCACCCCCTGCCCCCTCCCCCCACACCCTGCTCCCTTCTCCCCACCCCCTGCTCCCCCCCCACCCCCTGCTCCCTCCCCCCCACCCCCTGCTCCCTCCCCCTCACTCCCTGCTCCCTCCCCCCCACCCCCTGCTCCCTCCCCTCACACCCTGCTCCCTCCCCCCCCACAACCTGCTCCCCCACCCTCACCCTCTGCTCCATCCTCCCCACCCCCTGCTCCCTCCCCCCCACCCCCTGCTCCCCCCCACCCCCTGCTCCCTCCCCCTCACCCCCTGCTCCCTCCCCCCCACCCCCTGCTCCCTCCCCTCACACCCTGCTCCCTCCCCCCCCACAACCTGCTCCCCCCCCCTCACCCTCTGCTCCATCCTCCCCACCCCCTGCTCCCTCCCCCCCACCCCCTGCTCCCCCCCACACCCTGCTCCCCCCCTCACCCGCTCCTCCCCCCCCCACTGTTTGCTATCCTGAGCGCTGCTCGGCATCGTCCTGGACTCTTGACTCAGCACCACTTCCTCATCTTCCTCCTAGTCTCCATTTCTCCTCTTCCACCTCCTCATCGCTCTGCCCATCTTCTCCGCTCCTCCCCTTTCTCTCCCCCCCCACTCCCTCCCCTCCTGTCGCTCCCGCACGCGAGGCAGTTACCTCGAGGTCAGCTCGAGTCGACCTCGAGCTGACCTCGAGCTGACCTCGAGCTGACCGAGGTAACTGCGAGTGGCCGGTGATGGCGAGCCTGTGATTGGTGGGTGACTCGCTGTGACGTCAGAGCTCTGCTGCTCTCGCCTGCGAGCTCGAAGCGACGCTTGAGAGGTTGGGGGGCGGGAGGGGAGGGAGGGGGGAGAGTGGGGGGAGGGAGGGGTGAGTGGGGGGGGAATGAGGGGGGAGGGAGGGGAGAGTGGGGGGAGGGAGGGGAGAGAGGGGGAGGGAGGGGAGAGTGGGGGGAGGGAGGGGAGAGTGGGGGGGAATGAGGGGGGAGGGAGGGGAGAGTGGGGGGAGGGAGGGGAGAGAGGGGGGAGGGAGGGGAGAGTGGGGGGGAGGGAGGGGGGGAGGGAGGGGAGAGAGGGGGGAGGGGAGAGTGGGGGGGAGGGAGGGAGAGTGGGGGGGAGGGAGGGGAGAGTAGGGGGGAGGGAGGGGAGAGTGGGGGGAGGGAGGGGAGAGTGAGGGGAGGGAGGGGAGAGTGGGGGGTAGGGAGGGGAGAGTAGGAGGGAGGGAGGGGGAGGGAGGGGAGAGTGGGGGGGAGGGAGGGGAGAGTGGGGGGGAAGGAGGGGGGAGGGAGGGGAGAGAGGGGGGAGGGAGGGGAGAGTGGGGGGGAGATTGGGGGGGAGGGGGGAGGGAGGGGAGAGTAGGGGGGAGGGAGGGGGGAGGGAGGGGAGAGTGGGTCGGAGATTGGGGGGGAGGGAGGGGGAAGGGAGGAGAGAGTAGGGGGGAGGGAGGGGAGAGTGGGGGGGAGGGAGGGGAGAGTGGGGGGGGAGGGAGGGGGGAGGGAGGGGAGAGTGGGGGGAGGGAGGGGAGAGTGGGGGGAGGAAGGGGAGAGTGGGGGGGAGGGAGGGGAGAGTAGCGGGGAGGGAGGGGGATGGAGGAGAGAGTGGGGGAGGGAGGGGAGAGTGGGGGGAGGGAGGGGAGAGTGGGGGGAGGGAGGGGAGAGTGGGGGGGAGGGAGGGGGGAGGGA